CAGACAGGAATACAAGATCATTGCATGGCTGTGCCAGATCTAAAGGCTGTGCCATATTCTCCTGGCACAAGCTGATTTCAGGTTTCACAGTCAAGTCAGACTTCTCCTTTCCAAAACTGTAAAATGATTGACACTGCTTCTCATAAACACAACTTTTCCCCCTTAATGACAGAGGCAATTGTACAAGTTCTGAACAAAACTAAACCATAACAAAACCTAAAAATTGAGCTATAAGTTTGTTTAACCTTCATTTACCTCTTTCATATTAGGTGCACCCATACTTATTATATATAATTTTGTGCAGCAGAAACAGGGCTGTCATGTCGCATCAAATATTTATATATGGAACACAATTTAATAAAAATAAAATTTTAAAAAATTTGATAAATAAAGAAATGTTATTTTCTAGACATGTGCGATTCGTTTCGTTCCGAATGTATATTCATACGAATTTCATGCCATTCGGACATTTGGATGCTTACGAATGTCCGAAGTGCCAAAGTATTGAAGCACTAAAGTGAAGAAGTTCGGTAGTTTGGAAGTGCCGAAGCTCCGAAGCGCTGAAGTGATTCAGATTTCTTTAACGTGGCAAAACAAGAGAGAGAGAAGGAAAATTACGTGAATGATGACAGAAATCTTGACCAATAAGCTAATTCCTTTTGTGCAATCGTTAATGCATTGCTAAACCCAAATACACACACCAGTCAAGCCATAAGATTTGCTTTTCCTCACTTTCACAGTGCTCTCACTACTGCAAGGGATTCTGTGTAGGCGTATGCAAATGAGCTCAACAAAGGACCAAATTTTGGCCTCATCATTCCACTTTATACATGGATTCCTTGGAGTATGTGTCTGCTGTATACAACAGCTTTGAAACACAACTCAGGAAGAGGAGCAAAGCCAGTGAACCACTCACGGACAGCTGTTTCGTTGTTAATGCAACTCATCAGCATGAGGTTGGTAACTGGCTTGCTATGGAGGCTTGCCGTTACTTGTAAAGTACATACCAAAAGAGTTGTGGTGGGGAAAAAAGTGTGGATGAAAACTCCTTCCACCTAAATTAAGTGGATAGTTAATACATTGCTAAACCCAAATACACACACCAGTCAAGCCATAAGACTTGCTTTTCCCACAGAAATCTCACTTTAACAGTGTTCTCATTACTGCAAGGGACTCTGCGTAAGCATATGCAAATTCCACTTTATACATGGATTCCTTGGTGTATGTGTCTGCTGTATAAAACAGCTTTGAAACACAATTCAGGAAGAGGAGAAAAGCCAGTGAACCATGTATTAATTATAGTTTTCCTATGATGAAGCCAAAATAATAACAGGGTCCAGAAGATAAACAAAACCCTCAGTCCACATAATGTGATTCATAGTATCAGGAAATCCTGAAGATATCATACCATCTGTGAGGAAGCTGAAGCTTGGGTTTCATTGGAACTTCCAACAAGACAATGATCCAAAGCATACCTCAAATTGCACCACGGCTTGGTTGCAGAAGAAGTCCTGGAACATTCTACAGGGGCCACCACAGTCACCTGACTTGAATCCCATAGAAAATCTCTGGTGGGATTTGAAAAGAGCGGTTGCAGCACGCAAACCCAACTCCATTACTGAACTGGAGGCCACTGCTCATGATCAACGGTCTAGGTTTACTCAGGAATGCTGCCAGAAGCTGGTTTCTGTCTGTGCATCTCATTTGCAGCAGGTTATAACAGCAAAAGGGTGCTCTACTAAGCACTAAAGATGCTTGCCATGAAGGGACTGAATAATTTTGAGCCTGGAGGAGTCAATCTAAGTTGCATTTACAGTTGAATTTGGGGAAACCACTTGAAGCATTCTTTGCGTTGAGCTATTTTGATTGCTTTTGTTTGGTTTGTTCATTGAAAACAGCGGAAAATCTGTAAATGTTTACAATAAACCTGATTTTTAATGGGGGTTGAATTACTGTTCGATTAACAAATAGAAATATTTGCAGTGCATGTTGTTACATCGCACAGGCCTAAGTTATCTTTTGTTGAATAATTTTTCCTTTAGCCATGAATAAATCTTAGCTATTACTTAAGAATGTTTCCTTCACTGTTTATGTGATAGGGTTTGGAACAAAACTACTGCAGTAGTTGGACCCGTTAAAAACCTCTTATGCCAGAAATAACTGTTAATTTCCTAGGTTTCACAAGTGCCAGAACTTCAATAACGCTCAGACAGGAATACAAGATCATTGCATGGCTGTGCCAGATCTAAAGGCTGTGCCATATTCTCCTGGCACAAGCTGATTTCAGGTTTCACAGTCAAGTCAGACTTCTCCTTTCCAAAACTGTAAAATGATTGACACTGCTTCTCATAAACACAACTTTTCCCCCTTAATGACAGAGGCAATTGTACAAGTTCTGAACAAAACTAAACCATAACAAAACCTAAAAATTGAGCTATAAGTTTGTTTAACCTTCATTTACCTCTTTCATATTAGGTGCACCCATACTTATTATATATAATTTTGTGCAGCAGAAACAGGGCTGTCATGTCGCATCAAATATTTATATATGGAACACAATTTAATAAAAATAAAATTTTAAAAAATTTGATAAATAAAGAAATGTTATTTTCTAGACATGTGCGATTCGTTTCGTTCCGAATGTATATTCATACGAATTTCATGCCATTCGGACATTTGGATGCTTACGAATGTCCGAAGTGCCAAAGTATTGAAGCACTAAAGTGAAGAAGTTCGGTAGTTTGGAAGTTCCGAAGCTCCGAAGCGCTGAAGTGATTCAGATTTCTTTAACGTGGCAAAACAAGAGAGAGAGAAGGAAAATTACGTGAATGATGACAGAAATCTTGACCAATAAGCTAATTCCTTTTGTGCAATGTAATGCTTGCTTGCCCAATCTGGTTTCACTATTCCCTGTGCAACGAAATGAGCAAATTGTGTGATTGATGTTAGAGGACAGCCAATTATTATTATTATTATTATTAGTGCCATTTATATACCATCTTTAAAAGTAGACAACCCAGGATTTTCAAAATGGAATATATCTATTCATTTTTGTAGCCACCTGGTCATAAAGCCTGGCCAAAGTTAGTGTTCATATTTGTTTTTGTTTTTAAAATGTTCACACAAATGATCATCATTACACATTTTACTGCTCCAAAATACTCATATTTGTGTTCAGTGATGTCTCAAGAGTACAACAGTATCCCTAGGTACAGGTGTCATAAGGTTTTGGAAAGTTACATGGTCAAATATAGGGCTTGCATATTAATTGGATAGACATGCAGTGCGACTATAGTTAGAAAGTTCATCAAAGCAGGAGGAGCCTTATCATCTTGCTTGAAAAAGTTCCACACTCACTGCCATCTGTAACATACACACAAGATCATAAGTAGTGCATCTTTTTTATTTAAAAAAATGTAACATGGCATGTAAATAGCAGACAGACCTCATAAACAACAGGACATAAAATAACAATATACTAATAGTGTAAAAAAAAAAAAAAACACCAAAAAGGTGAATAATAAAAATATAGGTTAAATACCCAAGAGGGCTCTGTATGCATTTCACGTCTACCCTGATGCTTTATAAACCTGGAGGAGCTTTATATTTGCAACTCCATACATTTTACCGCTTTATTACAGATGCTATGTTTGTTTAATAACAACATTACTTCTAATGAATCAAAAAATATTTTTTACATGCAGCAGATAGAAGTAATGAATATCCATTTTACCAGTCTATTTAAAAGTGTCAGCATATTAAATATTAGCTGCTGGATATTTTTTTCCAATATTATAATTTTTATAATCAAAGTTCAAGAGCATGGCAAAAGATGATTGTTACTCATGCATGTTTTGCTTTACTAAACCCCAAGGGTTTTGTTCATTAACATTTTAGACCATTATAGTCACTTTGGGCAAATGTTCAACATTGATAAATTTGTAAAATGAGTTGAAAAAAAAAGTCAAAAAATTGCAAATCTTTGTCAACTCACACAAATTAAGCTATAAACTTTGACCAGACTGAAATCTGAGTAACAGTTCAGTTGAAAATGTTCTCTAATGTGAGGGTTTCACCAAATACAATATAAGGTGAAGTTCCCGTATATCGACAACATTACTGACAGAACTGAAGTTGATTAACTGTCAAAATCATCAATGGAATGAATTGCAACATTGGGATTAATTACTTATCCTTGACTTTGATTGGGGATTTAAAATCCAAAACACTTGAGCTCCTGATTTAACAGAAAAGCTGGCATCAATAGAGCAATGAGAAATATAACCCGTGTACAAAAAATCAGTTGGAAGCTTGTGCAGTCATTCTGCATGCACTAGGAACTACAATATTGAGTAAAATATGTGCTTTTAAAAAAAAAAAGAAGGGAGCTCCCGAGCTAACGGCTTAATAAAGCATATTACAAAGCGGCTTACCAGCACGAAATCACCCCAAATGAGCGGATATCCATAATGTTGCAAAGGGGAGCAAGGAAAACGGCAGACAGCAAAGAAAAACACTCCATTGCAGCGAAACCGGCAAGCCATAAAACAGCAGTGCAATCATCACAAGATGGCAACGGCATTGGAGACGATAGGGAGATATCCCAGCCACAATCCCCACATCATTCCCCACAACACACAATGCAAATTCAAGGGGAACTGTTTCAGAAAATGCTGAAAGACATGGTACTAAAGATTCAAGCAACAGTACAAATGGCAATAGCAGACCTTAAAAAGGACATAATAGATATAGGCAACCGCACAGCACACATGGAAGGCAAGATGGCGGAATACACGGAAGCTCACAACAGCCTCGCAGAAAAGCTAGAAGAAATAGAGGCAAAACTTGAAAAACAAGAAATAGAAAACATGGACCTTGAAGATAGGTCCAGGCACCAAAACTTACGAGTGAGAGGGATTCCCGAAGAGGTACAGGCAGCAGACCTCATAGAGTACCTCCCGGGCCTATTTCAAGCCCTTTCCCCCGATATTACAACCAGCATGTTGCTCATGGATAGGGCTCACCGAGTGGCAAAACCACAACACCTACCCACCTCTACACCGCGGGACGTGCTCACCAAAATGCACTACTTCCATGTCAAAGATACTCTCCTGCATTCCAAGAAGCCTCAACATGAACTACCAGAGAAGTATAGGCCTATTCATATTTTCACGGATCTCTCAGCTGAAACGCGAAACAGGAAGATTCCCTACCGATGGGGATTCCCGATTAAATTGCTGATCCTACGAGAACGCAAAACATATGCAGCCACCGACGCAGAGGCCGGCATCCAACTACTGAGCTCCTGGGCCATCACCACAGCCATAACGGAAAACAGAACCAACAATCGTGCACCCCTTATCCTAGAATGGCAGGTGGTTAGACACTCAAAAACATCCAAGAACTCATCCGATAAATAAAGGCGACAAAGAGGCAACAGACATTACACACCCAGACATTGCCCGTCAGAAAGAGCATACACACACCACTCCAAAGTACATAACACATACTCCAGAATAGATGGGTGTTTCATGCACGAATCCACTATGGCCAAAATTCTAGACTGCGACATTATGCCCGTAGACTGGTCAGACCATGCACCACTGACACTAGCGCTGGCGAATTCATACGAATATAAACACAAAAGCCCATGGCGCCTTAATGTAAACCTGCTCCAAGACACGCAATACTGTGCTTCTCTAGAAAAAGAACTACATCACTACTTTTACACTAACACTTCACCCGATCAGAACCCACACATGCTATGGCTTGCACACAAAGCCGTAATAAGAGGTACACTTATAAGCAGGGCTTCATACCTGAAGAAACAATCCAAAAAAGAAGCGACACTATACAAACAACAATTGGAAAAAATACACAAAGAAAACCAAACGCACCCTTCAATAGAACATAAAAAAGAAATAAATACACTCCAAGAAAAACTAAATGAGATCCGACTTCATAAATTTGGATTAATACTAAACAGACTAAAGACACGCACGTACGTACAGGGAAATAGAGCCAGAAAACTCTTAGCACAACGCCTACAGGAAAGACAGCAACAAACGCGAATAGCCCATATCAAAAACAAAGAGGGCCAAAAAATGCACCTACCATCAGAAATATGTAGAGAATTTGCCCGCTATTACAGTCAACTTTACAATCTCTCAGAAGATCCAAACACACCAAACCCCACAGAAATAGGCATACAATCCTATCTAAATACCATTCCACTGCCAACTCTTTCCGATTCCCAAAAATAACTCCTTGCAGCCCCCATTACAGAAAACAAAATAACGGAATGTATAGATTCCCTACCCAAAGGAAAAGCCCCAGGCCCAGATGGATACACGAATGAATATTACACAAAATTTAAACACCTCCTAGCTCCTCATCTTACCTCAGCATTTAACCATGCCCGACATACAGGAAGCTTCCCCTCAGAGTTTCTAGCAGCTACAGTAATTACCCTTCCAAAACCAGGCAAACCACCAACACATTGCCAAAACTTCTGCCCAACATCATTACTTAACTCAGACACCAAGTTATATGCAAAAGTGTTAGCTAACAGACTTAAATCCATCCTCCCTTCCCTTATAGCAGACGAACAAGTAGGCTTTGTACACGGGAGACAAGGACCGGACAACACTCGAAAGGTGGCAGACATTTTACAGACGATACACATGGACCGGACACAAGGACTAATAATCTCCCTAGACGCTGAAAAGGCCTTCGACAGACTGAATTGGCGATTTCTAGAGGCTGTCCTCACAAAATTTGACTTCCCCAATACATACCTATTGGCCATTAAAGCCCTGTACAGTAACCCAAATGCAGCGGTATTGTCCACAGAATCCCAATCAGAACCATTTGCCATCACCAATGGCACCAGGCAAGGATGCCCCCTATCGCCCCTCCTATATGTAATGGCCCTTGAACCGTTAGCAGAAGCCATTAGACGTAACTCCGATATCCATGGCATAACAATAGGGGAACAAGAATATAAAATTAACCTATTCGCCGACGATGTCCTGCTAACACTTTCCCAACCATGCATATCACTCCCTAACTTGCAAAAAGAACTACAAAACTACAACGCACAATCCTATTACAAGCTCAACACCACAAAAACGCAAGCAATGGGAATAGGCATAGAGGGCGACACCATGGACAGACAAATTCGCATTCAACTATCACTGGAGAGAAGATTACTTTACCTTTCTAGGAATCAAACTGGCAAAAACATATAACTCACTCTTCACAATGAACTACCAAAAACTATACAAAGAAATAGAGAACACATTAAAATCATGGGAGGGCAAATACCTTTCTTGGGTGGGCCAATGTGCGGCTATCAAAATGATGATACTGCCAAAAATCCTATACTTATTCCGCACACTACAAATGAACGTTCCCTCTAAATACCTAAAGACCCTTCAGTCAACACTTTTAACATTTGGGTGGCAGAATAAAAAACCTAGGGTACCATGGACACTCCTATCGCAAGCAGTAAGAGAGGGAGGATCGGGTTACCCCAATGTAAGAGAATACCACAGAGCTACACAAATGGCCAATGTACTGGGATGTCACTCGAATGCACAGACTCCCCAAATGGGTAGCCCTGGAAACCAGCAGACTAGGAGGGAGACTCCTAACACACCTCCTATGGTCCCCGAAGGAAATGAGACCCCGCACCCCCCAAATGCTGCCGACCACCAGACTAATGCTTTCCTTGTGGGACAAAAACCAGACACAGGATGAGCTCGGTACACAAGTGGTCCCCAGCGACCGCACTAAGAACACTGCACATACTAAACTCCTCGTTCAACTACAAAATCTGGGCAGAGCACAGTATAACCCACTTACACCATCTGCTACACCAAGACTCCCTCAAAAGCTTTAAAGATCTGCAGACTCAATTTAAAGTGCCATTCAGGGCCCAATTCTCAGACATGCAACTAAAACACACCATCCAAACAGACGGCAAACACACAAAGACAAACGGAGAGGAGGCTTGCATGACACAATTCGAAAAGAAAATGCATAAAAATGAGACCACAGAAAAAAACTCTCTCATTCTGCTACAATACCCTATTGGGAGAACCACAAACACAACTTTGGGGTTTTCAGAAAGAATGGCACAGAGACTTAGAGAGGTCCTTATCACCCCAAGAATGGTACACGGCATTCACAGCCCACAAAGGTGCAACGAGATGTGCCTCCCATCTAGAAACCTCTTGAAAACTATTGTATAGGTGGTACCTCACACCTGACAAGCTTGCCAGAATGTATAAAACAATAGACAATAAATGTTGGAGATGCCAGAGAGCACCGGGAGACACACTACATATATGGTGGACATGACCAAAGTTACGCCCACTCTGGGAATCAGTTAGAGACATAATTAAAAATAGCACAGGGTCACGGATTCCATTATCTGTGGAAACATTCCTACTCCATATTATGCCACAGAACCTAACGAAACCTACTCGAAAACTAATATATCTAATTATTATAGCAGCGACAACTTTCATAGCCAGAAACTGGAGATCGACCTCGATCCCCCCCAAACAAGAGATACTAAACCTAATATCCACAAATGTGGCATATGAGAGGTTTGCAGGTTCACAAGGTTATACAGGCCAAACAAATGTATTGACGCACACCATGTGGACAGAAAATATAGATAAATCTCACACACAAGACACAAAACCAGGACCCGACTTAGAGTACGGGACCACCAGGGTAAAATATGTTGAGAATGTTGCCGGTGTGACACACCAAGTAATACCACTAGAAACCCAGTAGTGAGGAACAATACAGCTGTATAATGTAAACCCGTCTGAGAAGTCCTGACAGAGTCTTATCCAAGAGAGAGCCCAGTTACAACAACAAAAGTATACCATAGGTTGTATATAGGTTTATGTTTTTTTTGTTTTTTTTTACTGTCTCTGTACATACTCTACCCCTTGCCTAACTTCTTGGGTAGTATTGCATACCTCGCTCACAAAATCAACCAAAGAAATTAAACTCCACATACAAACAGGTGTAACACTAAAGCTGTATAAATCATTGGAAAGTTTGTTAAGTATAACAATATGCAATATTATCCCTACCCCTTTATTATTCTGTATCCCTCACAATGTTTATCTTTCTACAAAATATGAAAATAAAAATGGTCAATTATAAAAAAAAAACCACCAAATACTCTAAATTGACTAAAACTCCTCTTTTCAAAAACTTCACTATAAAAAATGGAAAAGTAAGGGATTGTGTATACCCAGTTCTCATGAAATCAAACCCTTCCCCCCAGTCCAGATCATACAGCAAAAATAATAATAAGAGAAAAATTCAAGCAATAAACTCTAAACATGTCCCAACAAATCAGTTAGTCAGTGATTTCCCTTTTATTTCCTTGATAAATATCCTTGATAAAGTGGTTTCTCCCTTTTTGCTGTTGTCCATGGGAGTTTGGTAGAAGTGTTTATGGGTTCCATGAAATACACTTTCTAGTATGGGAATGGTGCACATAAAGAAAAAATACATTGGTGAGAATACCTCGTTCCCAAACACAACAGTAGTGTAAAGATGAAAGATAGCATAAAGGAGGAATAGAAAAAAAGGAAATATTTTTCTCACAATGAGGCAAATTAGTTTATAATAAAGACATCCTGCTAATTATTAAGAGAAAGTAGTTGTTGCAGTTGTTTAAACAGCTATACAGATAGCTGTCTAAACAACAGATATAAGTAGCCTTGTATTCATTGTTTTAACTCAGTCACAACATAACATATTTACAGGTCAACTGTCACCTCAAAAATATTGTCAAAATAATAATAATACTATAATAATCCATTCTTCGAGAATTGAAATGAAGTATATATTTTTTAAATGGTGTATATGTAAAATAATAAGAAAATCCATCCCTTCCTTTAGTATATGACAGGATCCTTCCGCCATATTCGTGCACCTTTGGTCGGACAGGGTTTGAAAATCAACAGTAAGTCTCTATGGTCTTCCCTGCTTCACTCCCTGCACAGAAGCAGGAAACACCATAGAGTCTAACTATCAAATTCAAACACTGTCTGACACAAGGTCCATGTATATAGCTGAAGGAACATGTCATATACAAAAGGTAATGATGAGTTCTTATCGTTTTATTATACATACTTTATTTTAAAAGGTCTGTTTCCTTTTAATACTTGTTTAAAGGATTATTGTTTGAAAATATTTTTGAGGTGACCGTTGTCCTTTAAGGCTTGATAAAGACCTGCATAAGGGTGAAATGTTAACTTGTATATTTGAGGTTCCAGTTAGGTGGAACACCCTATCTGATAAATGCTTTTCTTGCTTTTGGCTGCTATTACCATGGGTGTAAACCTGGTCTCCTCTCTGTGAACGCACCCATTTCATGTCATCATTTGCCGGACTGATCACTCTAAAAGTCCAAGGACCATGCGCATTCATGAATGATATGTTGCAAAATGAGGAGCACTGGTTGAACTCATGGAGCCTATCAGCAGGGCACCAGCCTGATTATGTCTGATAAAGCAAAAGTAGATATTTAAATATATGTAGACATTTACAAAAGGCAATTGCATGATTACACTAGAAAATCTCTTGTATTATCAAGGAAATAAAACTTTTTTTAAATAGTCATTTTCATGCTTTTT